TTAATAGTCGTTCGCACGCTTTATAAGTGAAATCGATTACGAACAACTATAAAAGGATCAGCGTACGTCGATCACTTTTTTTATATCGAGCGCACTGCACCAATAATTTATTATACTGACGACTGATTCATCTTCAATCTGACGCTCAATTCTACTTCAATTGGAAAAAGAATCATAATGAACGGAGCGCGTAAAGTACGAACCGCACCGTCGAAATTGTGAGGAGCACTGCGCGTGCAATACTGTTGTAACTTTACAACTACAACCGATAGAACTCGAGTCCTGTTCTCTGAACCCCGCAGAAACGTTGTCCGTACTTACATCGCTGTATGACGGTTCATTTGGCGACCGAAAAACATTTGAATTACTAGGACAGTATGACATGAGTGCATGTTAAAAACTCTAAGCACAGATCTTCGAACGTTAAAATTGTAAAGAGAAATAATTTTGTATGCTTCCCTGTAGCATTTTTAATCTATAATAGAAAATGTGTTTGGTCATAGTATTATATGTATGTATTTCTGGTAATTGTAAGGATATTAGGGTAGTTCTGAATAGATCTGTACATTATAATTTGGTTTCACATGTGGGCTTTTTTAGGGTCACATGCATTATATTTGTATAATAATAATAAAGAATGTCACATGAGATTCCTTCTGAAAATAGAAGGAATAAACAGGACGATAAATTCGTGTATAACAATATTCTATTCACAACGATGATATGATAAAGTAGCATCGAGAGGCAACAATTTTCTGCTTCGGAAACGGTACAACTTACATTATATATTATATAATATAACAACACTGCGAAAAGCTTGAAAACACTCCATTCAATTACGTTTATTTTTTCTTTTCTCGTCATTTATAGGCATATTTATGTATATTTATATTTATTGATATATATATATACATATATGTATATATGTATATGTACGTATATCTGCAATATATGTATATATGTCTGTGTACACAATGTGTTTATTATAAAACGTTCGTTAACTTCTGTCTGTATTCCCAGTCTGATAAAAATGTTTATACACAAAAATTAAGCCGTACTCGATCAACTCATACAATATCAAAAATCGTAAAAATATTGTTGTTTACTTAAAAAAAAATATTTTGACAGATTTTTATATTGCTAACATATTTCTGTTAGATGAATGTAGCGAATGTTATAATAAACACCTTGCATATAGCTTCTAGCGTAAGTTTACGTTATGCTATGCTACATTAGAAACTTTAAACAATAATACTTTCCATTGTCAGCACATCATCGTTATCGTAATCAGCTTCAACTCTTCTTTTCTTTCTCTCTCTCGCTCTATCTCAGTCAATCACAAATACACAATAAATAAATATTCACTCGCTCAACTTATCACACAACTATAATTTCATGTAAAATAATCATTCGTACTAGCAACCACTTAATTAATGTCTCTGGTAAGAATCTCGGAATAGTTAAGAAAAGGATACTAGCACGGAGACGAAAAACTTTGATATTCAACAATAAACGTAACAGGCGAGTCGTAATAAACCTAAATTAACGATATAGTAGTCAACCACACGAAATTCAAGTACACGCATATTTCCTTTTCTTCAACTATGATCGTACGTTGCTACAAATGCACGTTTGCTCGCGTCGTGTTTCTCTTGTAGACAAAACTCCTATCGATTGCTCAACTTTTCTACTCTGCTCGTGAATGAGTCTCACGTCTACGAGAAATATAGTTATACGCATTCAAAGTTCCTATAAACCATTTTCATATTGTTCCAGCATTTATTATTAAAAAAGATGCTTCTACGCATTTAGAAAGAGTTTCTATCGATTGCTCAATTGTTTGTTCCATTTATGTTTCACGTTTCCAAGAGATACAATTATAATACATGTCTTTAAAGTTACAATAAATTATCTTGATAGCATTCGTGTATCTTCTAGGAGAAAGATATTTATTCACATTTAGACAAAATTCTTATCGTTTACCTGATCTTCGAAAAATTCAGCCACAATTTAAAACTACAATATCGTGCAAGTATATTTGACTCGACAGGAAGATACTTCTCCGCATCTGAAGTTTGAAAATTCAACTCCGTTCCAACGATCTTCTATACGAATTTCCGTTCAATGTAAAATACATCTCGCTACCCTAATCGTTAGCGTAGCACCTCCATGAGATCAGCAGTTACCCTTTCGCATATTTCACGTATATCATCGGGACCGTAGTTTTAATATCGTAAATTTATACAAAACGTTGAAACGTGACCGGACTCACTATTATTATTTCGCCGACTACTCTAGCTACGTATCATATACCATTGATAGTACAAGAATCTCAGAAAGGGGTGAGGGATTTAACTGCTAAATTCGTTACATGTCAACTCGTTAAACATTTAGAACATTTCGAGTTCGTTAGCGCCGTGTACAATGTGTTTGACCGTTTGTTCTTCGTCGTTCGTTTATCCTTTTGTATCTCGAGCTGTTGTACAAGGAATCGATATGAAACCAACTACCCTTCCTTGTAGAAGCGAAGAAACAATTTGCTCGGCTTGCATGCGGAGTTTCTTGCGCTTCGTTCTTATCAGTGTTCTTGCTTTTTATGTGAATCTTTGACGATCTTAACGCATAGCCATTATGGAGGAGGCATTTTCCCACATGTTGCATCATTAAATTCTTTCTACACTCGTTAACGGGGGGTGAAAGATACATGATCCATCTTAATGATCCAACATTATTAGTTAGTTACATACTTTTAACTAGGTCAAAAGTGGTGCCAGCCACTTCCTACATCACAACCAAGGAAACCTACAAATGGACGCGTTCTTCACGATATTCTCACGCACGCTCGCGATCCCATTCGCTACATTTCTTCTTATTCCATCCCAAAACAAAAAGAAAAATAGTAACAACAAGAAACCTAAACACAGAAGCAGGTACTCTAAGAGTTAATCGTGTACCGTATATTACCGATACAGATTTCATCACAAAGAGACGAAGGATAACGAATAGAACGCTAACACGCTTCCTCAGAATGCCCGAATTGTCAGTGCGTCGACCAGATTACGGAGGTTTATGGAAAGTCGTACTTTCGTGGAATTTAAGCAACAGCTCGCTTCGTTCTTTAAATATTGTATCATGTTGTTCGCTTTGGTCATATACTTCATACTTTGTACATTACCGCGTACGTAAACATTCTCCCTGTGAACGCATATACGACGTCCGTGATCCAGTATCGACAGAAATAATGCGTTGAGTATAAAGATACGCGTGTCACATTGAAACCAAGAAATCATCATACTGTTTCCCTGTACATGTACGCGATAATTCCTTTACAATCTGGTAAATCTCCCTTTTACTCCATTAAAGACATAAATTCATGTATGTTATATAAAATATACAAATCCTTAAATCGCTATCACGAAATCTATGGCTCTTACGCGTTTCGGGTTTTCTAATCCGTATCACCCCAATACTATGAACATTTCGTTCCTTTCCACAACGCAAACATCTCTATAGAAAATAATAAAATGTCGTTGTTTTAAAGTACCATTCGCCCCCTGCCAACAGTACTTTCCTCATGTTCGATCATTATACTCGTCGATGCACATGTATAGTGTATGTAAATTAATTGTTCCTAATTGCGCAAAAAATAATATTTATACTATATACAAGAAATTAACATGAAACGCGTGACAAATATGATATCGCACGCTTGTTGTAATACTGACACAACTTCCATCGGTTGTTACAAAATCAGTCAGTACACGTTTATACTTGCCATTCAGGAAATAGTAAGGTAATCTTTCCGTTGCGTTACTGTTGCAACGAACGAGCGATATTCAATATATATATATATATAAAGATAAAGAGTGCATAACTTTTGTTTCATGGTCGTCTCGCGCTTTCGTACACAATAATCGATTTTAAAGCTAGTCATAACAATACTAAGGAGAATAAACGTTACAAAACATTAACACATGCGAAGAGCATTACTGTCAAACTGAAAAATTAACGATAGACTATGTATATGTACGTATATACACAAATGTATATATGTATAATATATTATATACAATAATATATAACATATAGACATGTGTATACAGTGACGAGTAGATCAACGGAGACAAATTTTACTCGATTAGTTATTCTATTATTATTGAAATTATCGTTTTTATCACATCGTGTATACTTAAACAATACGATTTTGTACAATATAACGTATTAAACATAGGAGACTTTAACAACTTCTATAAAAAGTTCGGAAACTAAGCAACAAGAGACTCGTTATGCTATCAATTTTACTAAAAACTTTACTGGACTCCTCCATTTCTATACTCACCACTGTACAGCGTTAGCATCTAGTCCAATGAACGTTAAGTATTTATTTAAACAACCAATGGTTTCTTACAATATATACACACCGGATACCAAAATTGGCAATAACATAAACGAATCGATGATAACTAAACTTGATTATTGTCGATATTTACTTTGTCAAACATATAATTAACCCGTTAACGACCGTTTTTATAACGACCGTTCTATTTCCAGCTAATGAATAAATTTACGGCACAGAAATCTGGTCTGGTCGTTCCTTTCTTTACTCAGCGAGCATCGAGACTATCAATCAAACGGGCAAGCGTAATCAATGAAAACGAAGGAGAGATAATAAATCTACAATAATCTCAATATCGGTATTGAAAAACCTCTTCGAACAGCGCCTCGACAACGAAACATACACACATAATAATACTAATACACCGTAAGCAACTCGAGGGAATACCGCGGTTGGATAAGTCTCGCGGTAACTCTTTCTGCACATATACACGATATACGAAGATACTTGTGTATCTAATGAATACACAATTTTGTATATATATGTATATATATAATTATATAGAAGAGAGTCGCTAAATGGCAGTAGGGAATCAAATAAACTGAAACATCGTAGTCCAGAGTCCCGTCTCTTGCCTCAAGCACCGGCGAATCCGTACACTTCCAGTACCCTGATTTCGAAATCTCCGTTGGCACAAAGGGGTGGATTGTTAAACGTGGAGCACCGATCTGTTTTCCCGTATCTTATGTTCTCATCCATCCATATTGCTTGACCGTCCCTGGAAACGGAATAAATTGTTTATTTTTTAATGGGATTTCTAATGAGGTCATTTTGTAAAGCACGATACAAATGTCTTTTCTTTCTATCTTTTGCGGTTCATAGATCTTCGTATATTTGTCTATTTTCCAGCATTATCTTAATGCTTACCCTCCGCCTATGGTTATCATCTTCGAGTCCGCAGCCATGAATAGTTCAGCTGAATGATGAACCTTAGAATCATTGTGCGAAGAGTCCATCCCTACCCAAGGGTACTTTGCTCGTTCGGGATACAAGCTGAACAGGAACGTTTCGCCTGTTCCAAAATAAGCCTGTCGTTGTCCTTTGTCGTTTTTCAAATTGCGTTCGCACCATCTCGTGGAGCAGTAGGCACCGAATACCTAACAACAAATAATGCAGATGAATTAAGATTAAATGTTCATACGAGAATAAAATTATCAACGATCTAAGTGAATATTTAGATAATCACTATCAATTATTTGATGGATAGCAATACAGTGGATTGACTACTTCACACTGCCATTCACACTTGATCCATCATAAATAGGGAGGTACTTACTTCATTGTTACATGTTTTTATCATCAACAGAGTTGGCTCGTGTTGCTCTACCCTCACGTAAAATGTTGTTAGTGAACAACCGTGTTCCTCCGTTGTGTACAATAGTATGGGTTGGTACATGGTGATCCGCATCGGTAGCCAGGACCATAATGTGAATAACTGCCACAAAGTAAACAAACGAAATTTTAATTAAGTAACACCGTGCATCGTAATCGTTATTCGTAACTGTGCAAACATTAGTTTCGAATAAGTTTCTAGTTGTTCAAAAATACAGCAAACTAAGTCACAGCAGCGGTAATCATGCGCTTGACTTAAAAAAAATTAATACATCAGGTGATTATAAAGCCAAAATGATTTCTAAAAATTTGTTCTTATTCTTTTAAAAAATATACGATCTGTATATTTTGCTAATTTATTAAACCACTAACACATTTCTATGGACATTTTATTATCCATAAATCTGTTGCGTGTAATCATTCCTTCATGGCGTAAAACGGTATAGTGTATATTTGGTACTTTATTCATTTTTCTAATCTACGTCGCTAGTATAAAAAAAAAACATAAAAAAGAAAGATTAGCTCTAGGATATTAAGTATGCTCAAACGAGATGCAAAAAATTCATTCGAGATGCAAAAAATTCATTCGACATGCAAGAAAGGCAAGAGCAAAAAAAAAATGAATGGCTACAATCCAGTAAGAAATTATGACTTCGAGTGAATTATCTGTGAAGATCGTGAAATGGGAACTTCGTGAAGCGACGCAAATGGCGCATAGCAAAAGATTAACACATTGTAATAATGTCTACGTGTGCTTTCAACTGGTGGTCACAAAACATTTTCCAGTTATAACTACAAGTTTGCTAATTGTCATAAATATTGTACACGAATCACATACATCGAGAAGTGCCTAAAATGATGACGATAAATAATAATGTAAATCAGGACCGGTACGTAGGAGCTCGGAGATGAACCGCTACGGATGCGTGAAAATAAAACGGGAACGCATGCTAAATTAATGTGTAGGTACTTAGGTAGCAGAGAATAGTAAAAATCGAGTGTACTAATTTTATACAAAGGGACTACGAATCGAGATAGATAGACAGAGAGTGCATTGTTTTCAATAGAACATAAGTCAGGCCATCATACAATCATTCCATCAACGTGTGTACATTCTGCTACTTAGAAACATTAAACCCCAGGCAAATAAAAAGAACAGAGAAAGTGACACCGACGAATTGATCAATGATCATACAACTCCTCCTCCTTAATAAAAAATACATCATTTTCTATAAAACTCTGGCCCTTCTCGCAATTCTATTCAAGAAGATCCATTAGGACGATGTGCTACCGATTTAATCGACGCGATCTCTTACTTTCTCAGGGATGTAATTGAAATAATAGCACGACAGAGTAAATAAACCTAATACATGTTCTCCAAGATGTATATATACATTGAATAACGACAATATCGACATGCCACAAAGAGGCGACCAGCGAACTACAGAAACTCTGCTACTGCCTAACGATTTTCTGTGTCAGGGTCGGATTAAGGTCTTCGTCAGAGCAGAATGGATCTTGAAAACCGTAGTAAGTTTTTCACACGTGAAAGGTCGGACAGGACTTGAGACTCGGTTTTTCGTATGCTTTGGCACATGTATTTAAACGACATAACAAGCTCGCGTAATAATATCAATAATACCCCAAGATCAAAAGATTACTTCACACTTTATTTTCACACATATCTTTTGGACGCAGAGCAAACTATCCCAACATCATTTCCAAATAGATTTTATTATTTAAAGAGTAAACAGTAATCTTGAAAGAACGTGTTCGGATAGATTCTGTGGGTCGCCCTAGCCCATCCCTTAATCCGTGCCTGGTTTTTGTTCGTTTTGTTTGTTTTTCAGTTAATTATGGACGACCAGTACTTACATTAGGCATGTCTAGAATCTGGGAGCATATGTTTTGTATGGGATAAACGCCCATTGACAGAGCACGCGGTCCAGGACTGTGTGCACCCTACACCCATGACCATTAAAATCCATCATCATTCCAGTAACGCAGCATGACACAAGACAACACAGAACCGTCAGTTATGTAAATTTTTTGCGTACTCGTCTTTGACACGATCTTTTTTATTCTCTTAGTTTAGATTTTATATTACATACCAAATGGGAACAATAAAAGTATCGTAACGAAACACTGGTTAAAAATCATCGGACACACAGCATAACAGGAAAAATTGTGTGTGTACATCGGTCATAAACTCGAGCTTTCACTAACGCACATCCAAAGTGCAGAATCAGCGACAAGGAACCAATCCAATTTCAGAAATGTGTTACTCGAACATTGTTAAACATATTTACAATTTAACATTTATCCAGCGAACATTTTTTATAATTGGGCAATCCTTTCGTCGACGATCCCGTGAAATGTGTTTGGGACGCTCGATTCGTTAACCGGTGTAACCGATGCAATGATAAATTTCGAGGAACGGAAATTAACAAAATAAAATCGGTGTAATCAATGTGCTACGGAAGCATTGAAAACAATAATCAGAGTATATGTATAAAATAAAAATAGAATGCGTTCGCCTCGATCGGGTTGGTTGTTTCATTTTCCTTTGTACAGTTGTTATACGATGAAAACGTCGTGTATGTAAATACTGAGAGTTGCAGATAGACCGGAAAAAGTTTAATAATGAAGCGCTGTTGCTGCTGCTGCTGCTGTTGTTGCTGCTGCTGCTGCATTCACTGATCGAAACTGATGTCTCGGAACGCTTTCGAAAAATCAGAACTCTTTTCGTTGTTTAAGGGAAGTGTTTAAAGAGAAGTTCTATCGACAATCCTATCGATCAATGAGAAGCAAAAACTGTTGCGGTGTAGTCCACCAGTAACAGTCACCATATATGTAAATCGAATTGCTCAAATCACGAGTATCAGGCATCATCCTCGGTAGAATATAAAATTGCGTTAAGAAACGATGAAACCAATAAAAGGTCTCCGATTTCGTGTATTGCTAACTTTATGTAAAATTTGACACTATAAATTTAACAACAGGCGAGAATCGGTAATTTCTGACTGGTTTTACAGTCATAAAACGTATTTTCATTACTGCCGTATCACACTCGTTAAACACTGAAAGCCAGTGAGGACCTGACCGATTAAGAAGATTACAAATTCGATTGCACTTAAGAAATTAATCATTGAATTATTCTGCTCGTAAAGCAGGAAATAGTAACTGCGAGTGGATAGACTGTAACAGCAACCAAGCTGGCACGATACGTAATGTGTGTGTATGTGTGTATGTTTTACAAATGAGTGAGTATGAATGAATATAAAAAAAAAACAGGTAAAAAATAGTAGTTCGGGAACAGAGGGCAGAGCACATGAAACTAACAACACATTTCCCAAAAAGATAATTATACGATACCCTGTCTTTGTATGTGTCTTCACACTCTTTCTGAAAACAAAGGGTGAATCATTGAACAGCTTTTTTGCCATTGTTTGCATTTGCTAATACCCTAAGAAACTATTTCTTAAAACGGTCGTCGAATCGAATCGTCTACTGATTCGTCTACAATTCTACCCGTAAGAGAACATTACAATTAAATAAATAAACCTTCGAACCTGTAACAATTTCTCAACAAATAAATAAGGAGTCATTTGCAACACTTAAAAACAATGGGCTCACATATATGTACAATTGTCTCCTGAATATAATTTCGATGCCAGAAATAAATAAGAAACATCGTTAAACATGCCAATACCGAGGGTATTACAAGTCTAGATAGAGAATAAAAGAAAAAAAGAAAAATAAATCTTGGCATACGTGAGTCCATATAATTCGTTAGAAAACGAATTCGCATCGTAAAAAAAAAGGAATACAGATAACATACTTCTCTGATCGTGAGCGTATGCGACATCATCTGGATGTTGACTTGAGACTGGCTTGTCGGCAGATTGTCCGTCGATCGGGATCTAGCCAACGATCTGGATCCCGTTAATACACTTCTACTCTTTAGGGCCATTTCTGTGCGCAAAAATACTCTTGATATGTATGCTGAGCTGAGACCGCGGATCCCAAACGCGGTGCGTAAAAATTTAGCTGACGTTACCTATAACATTCCGAAACATTGCCATTCAAGAACAACTGTCCGTTAATGTCCTTCAACTTGCAAAATTCAAACTTGATCTTGTATTATCGTAACTAGTACAAATTTAAACGCTGTTAAAGAATGAATCTAAGAAGAAGTGGTTCGAAGAAATCGAAGTTAAAATAATTATGAATTAATTCTACGTATTTGTTCTAAATATAAAAGTGCTAAGAGAAGAATTACATTTAAAGGAACCCGGACTTCCTGAATTACTTTTAGCTACCGATGATGCATCAAGAGACGACGTGCTAAGGAATTTTGTACCCAAATACTCATATTATACTTACGTACTAATACTGAGTATCTACCTACCGGTATTTGTCTGCAGAATTTCGATAAGGCAGCGTCAATACCGTTCTTCGAAATCTCATTCATCCATTCAGAGTTTTGCAGCGACGAATGTTTGTAGAATAATAGGACTATAGCCATTGCTACTCGATAGAAGACCTAAAACAGATGAACAAAAATAAATTGAAGATATGCAACTGTATAATCTCTTAGATCAACGCGCAAGACTATGAATAAATTCTAAAGAACAATGACTCATGTCTCTTCTACCGAAGAACCAAAATTCTCCTTGCGACATCATTGCAAATTTGTCATAATTTATTTTTCAGATACAAACTCTCACATTGTACACGTTGACAGAGTCAACAAATAAAAATGCGTGTTACATCGATTCTCTTACTGGCACGGACTCAACGCCGGGATTCCGTGTTTATACTATTCCTGGAAAACCGTTCCATATTGTACATATATGTATATGCGTAACTGCATATCTTTTGCCTCATCCGCGGCTTGAATCAGAGCCAGTAACGTCGCCTTAATGTATCGTGGAAATGCACGAATGTATACTACACCAACCTTGATGCCTTCGTGAAGGAAACAGTCCATAACCCTGACTAGATGCTGGAAGGGAAGATACTGAAGGATCCACCAGATCCAGTCCATGTAGATCCGTTCCGCTCTCGATCCGGAGCAGTGTCTCGCCAAGTGTACCGCTGCCGATTTCTTCAATGAAGAATCACGATCGGATAACGTTTAGCTCAATACGTAATAACTATCTATTGAAAGGCTATGGAAGATGATAAAAAGACAGACTTGCTACAGGAACTTTTCACGGTTTTATACCTAAAAATGCTTTGAACGTATAAGAACAGCCTTAGAAAAAAACGAAATGTTACATCATCCAAAGCATCTTCGAATTACCAAGCGTAAAAAAATTCGTGATTCATTCTCTGAACACTAATGGAGTAATCGCTCCATTCTGGTCTAACGTAAGGGGATTGATTCGCATTTATTGAGATGCGATGAAACATCGATTATTCAGTCGCATCCGTCTAAAAAGGAAACCGAAGACGATCGCGGTTTCCTAGTAAACAAGTATATCTAGTCAAAACGAGTGAGCGTGATCCGTGCCCGAGCCAAACGCAGGCCAGAGCAGGTCGAACGAAGAGGACGTGATTCATCTCGGTGCAGCGGGCTGCAGCCAAGAGTTTGAAAGAGTTTCACGTACCACGTGCTTCTTGGTGATCTGCTCGACGGTCTTCCAGGTGACCTCGTAGAGGAGCTTCGTTTGCGTAATGAACATCTTGTCCTTAGTGGCGACCAAACTCGCCATGCAGTGATAACACTCCTCCTCTGCGGACAGAAACGGCCGGATGGTGATCTCGTGAACGTTTCTGATTTTCATTCCTATTAATAGCACTGGGATCGAATCCAACCGCGTGTCCAATGTCTTAATTTATGCGATCGTGCAAGAAATTCGACTTGCAGCACGCGATGTGAATTTCCATTGTGTACCGCGATCCAACGAACTACAGAAGTTTTCTTGGAAGTCCCTCTTTCCCTCTATCTATATTTTCTTTTATCACGCCAGTTTCGGATTCGCGCCAAGTGCTTCAACGTCCGAGAAAAAAATAAACCGTCCTTTTTATATTGCAATATAAATTGCAAGTACTTAAGCTTTTTCTTTCGTTAATTTAACCGGAAAGGTAGCTGTTTGGAGTGACTTTTATACGATGTTAAGCATTCATCCAACAAACAGTTGATATTTAGAAGATACAATAAAAATTAGTCCAAGCGTAGGAAGTTCTTTAGAAAATGGGACAGACACCGTTTGCTCGGAAAATGGGAACGCTCATTTATTCGTAGACACTCACCTGGCATAAAGTGAAGAAGAAGTGCCGTGATGGGGTAGAGGGATGGACTGTAAGTGATATCGGGGCAAGCGTATCCAAGGACGGATACGACTCTGTCCGCAACGCTCCTGCCCTTTCTCGTTAGCTGGTACGACAGGCAATGAGTGCTGTCAACGAACGGCGGTAGCATGACAGATTTTTCCGGCAGCTCTGTAAACAGGTAATTTCAGGCATCACTCGCCACCGGCTGTTAAAAGCAAATACTACGCCACGCGTTCGGAATTACTAGAGTACCCTTTCCCCTAATGAGAGAAAGCTTTCGATAGTCAAAACAGTCGAAGGGTGCAAGTCCTCCATTCAGAATTTAAAAACATAAAGGAAAAACACTGTTTAGCTATCCATTAAGCATAATAGATAAATAAAAACGTATATAAAAATGTACTAGCCTTATATAAAACTTGAAGGAATCACAAGATACGGAAGTGTCAGGTTCGATCTAATGGATTGAAATTAAATTGATCGATTTTAAACCCATTAGAACGTTCTTCCTCGACTGATTAAAGAAATTGAATTTCTTGTTTGTTAATCATTTTTCATGTACACTGCTCTGGCAAAGCTAAGTATCTTGTTATATTTTAAATACTAAATACACGTTCACATGATGCGAAGCACTATAATTCAAGTATATATATACACAAACCATCGATCTGTAGAAATCACGCGAACTTGATATTAGCTTATAACGTTCGCAACGTACTACTCTTACATGCCCGGAGGATCCATCTAGCAAGAAGTAGAAACTTACGTGTATCATTATTAACTTTCTCGCCGCTAGATTCATTTCCGGAATGAGATAAGTAAGTATAAAACTCGATTGCACTCGTTCGTTACTAACTTCTGTAAGAAGCTTAATCCTGTTTCTACATTTGATTCCATCGAAGATAAATCAATAAGGAGAATTAATGCTGGTGAACGAATTAGGTTCGTGCTTGTAACTGAATTTTATTTATTGAGAATTTGTGAACCTAAGGAATTTTCCTTTGCCCCTAAGATCATTATAGACTAATACGTCCTTATAAAAAAAATTCTAAATTGACTTAAACACCGGGTTGGGGTTCAATACGTGTTACGTAATGCACAGGAGCCGGTCAACGTAGGTGGGACGTACGGTTGGTCTAACGAAAACATGAGATATCGAATTTTAATAAGAAAATATGCAGGCTGCGTCTACGTGCAAGCTTTACGTATTAAAATGCTAATAATACGTATCCGCCAGATAGATTTTCGGTAGTTATTATTAGAATGGCAAATAACTCTGCATGTTTCAAGATCTAGTAACACGCAGGAAACGCCTCGCACTTTGACAAATCTTTAATCGTAATACAGTTTATCACTTTTAATTAACATTTGTCACTCTTGTTGAAAGTTTTAGTGTCAACATTGGATTCAATCATCTATTTAGTGCTACAATTTGCAATTTGAAAGGAATTTACGTCATTCTCTTCATTAGTATTTTTCCATAGGAAATTACAGAAGCTTTCAAACAATTTTCCTTCATTAACGATTAGCAAGCATACGTTATACTTAGTTTACTCTGCCATTACGAGACACGTTAATCGCGAACTACATTCTCAATATTAACTAAAGAATCAAGAATATTTTCGATTGGAAAAGTTTCAGTTTTTACTCTTTTTAATCGTGCTTTGTAAATATACAGACTGCGGATTTCTATGCAACATAAAACTATTGTCATATCGATTTGAGAAATGAAATTTAAATTGGAACTTCTTTTACCTAACAAAAATGTAATACATATGAAATGTATTCTTTATGTGTTCAGATCATAGAATTTTTCCGTGAACGCTTAAAATCCGCAATCTCCAAATATTTGACTTTACATGAACTTATCTGTGGCTTGCCGTCACTATCAAATCTGTACACAAAATTGTAGTGCGAAAGACAAACCTGTGGTTCCGAACACCTGATTCACCATGTCCCAGTAGAATCCGTCGAGCATATTTTTGCCATGCGCGTGCTGATTGCACAACGCCGGCCAGAGGTGCGCCCTAATGCCGTTGTTCAATGGCCAGGCGTTGTCCCTTATCAGGAGCTTCACCTCCCTCTTTCTGCCGGCCTGTAGAAGCGCGTTCACCTCGTTGAACGTCTTCAAAGTCTGCTTCTTGCTGGTCGGCGATTCCGGCTGTATGACGATGTTCGTCGTGTCGACGTGCGGCGGGAACGCGTCGTCGACGTCGACGTCCGCCTCCTCCTCGAGCACCGGCAGCATGTTGTTCGCCTGATTCTCCGTCGAGGAGGGTGTCTGTGTCACTAACATGGTGCGAGTAGACTAGGGTGCGAGGTTCCTCTTCATGATGTTTCCCCGAACGCACTGGTCAACGATATTTACGTCAAGTCCTGAGACGTTTCAATTTTCATCTGAAACAATCAACAACATTTCTTACTCAAATAATCGTTCGAAACAAAATCGAGACTTTTTTATTGTTCTGATTTGTTAAGGTAGTTATCACCTAAATGAACACTATTCAAGATAATCACGAAACTTTTAGCACAATTAGTTAAGCACCTGATAGGTACTTTTGCGAAATTTCAGTGCATTTTACCACATAGTCTCTGAGTTATGCTTAATGAAGTATTTGACTTCTCAGCCAAGTTGTAACTTGGATTGCCTTCTTGGACTATAAACGCTAGTAGATTCAAATAAAACGTAAAGTAAGTTCTAACTCATTTCCCTTACAAACTGATAGTAGCATAAATTATTAAACATGTTAGCACAACAGCTGTACTATTTCCAAAACTTTTCCATTTCAGTAAGTGACTTACACTACTGTGACTTTTACCCCATCATATAATAAAACGTGCACGCGTCATTTTAATTGTTCTATGCACTGTTCGTTAAAATTGTTCCAACCACTTGCTGATCTCGGAGGGTGTATAATTTCATAATTATTCACGAAGCGATCGTTTCCCGACGCGAGTTCAAGACCGAGCGACGGCATGCGTTTCCAGGAATCTTCCGTAAACATTCCCATAATAACCGTGACTATAGCTACGGCATATCACCACTGCTCCAAGCCGCAATGCACTTAATCGGAGCGAGCCGCTCACGAGAGAAATAAAAATTATACAAAGGAGGAACTATCTGAATCAACAACAAATTTAATGATAATTATACAAGATGAATATATACATGGAATGGACATTTATTTTTTCAAATGCATTATTTACATCTAAGACCATTTTTCATTATTTATCATAAACTTTATTAATAGACTGCGAGTTTTATGGAAAAATTTGATGAAATATGAAGAACGCATATAATACGCAAGAATATGCACTAAATACACATTATTAAAAACTACAATTTAGATTTCATTGTTTTATCTTGCACGCAAATCCGCAGTATCTTTATTACAAAGACTTATGAACTTTGGCTTTGACGAAACGTAAGTTGTACGTTTATCAGCGATAAGTTTTATTACAAAGTAATTATAAGTTACACAAACTGATATTCAACAGCAGCACAAAGCGAGACAATGCCAGAACCATTATTACTCTCTGGAAATGTTACACCATTTATTCGTTTCGCGACCGAAATCAATTACATATCTTTTGCAAGACACCAGCGTGTAAACAAGACTCGCAGCCAAGCAAGCGTCGCTTCTTGTATTTTTGAACGATGACAATACCTACTTAGAAGTTCATTTGTCAATTCGTCGCAATTGCAAAATTGCGAAGACACAATTTTTGCCAATCTGAACTTAAATTAAAAAACGCGACCGTTTAATACTTCACCGATGCGTACTGTAGAGTTGCGTAACAAGTATCTCGCACATACTGAATATATAAATAGTACATAGTTGACGCATCGTCGGATCGATTGTTTGTTAATTACTAAACAATTTTCTTTTATCCCAGTGTACTGGTTATTAGTAATAAGTGACTTACTCGTCCCGATGTCTCAAAGTTGATCATAATATAGTGATTACATAACATTGTAAGTGATCGATAATATAACTCATAATAACAGTTGTGTAATACCAGTTGGTGTGGACATTCGTAAGTTGATAAATTTCGTAGAACAAGTGCCACTTAAATTGGCCAAGCAAATGTATTTAAAAAATTATCGAACTATCTAAACGCAACGATGCAAGTAATTAATAGAAGGGAATATTGTATTATTAACTAACTTAGATCCTAGAACTTATACGAATAAAATAGGTCTGATCATAGAGAGACGATTCCAGTAAAACATTAAGATCGTGAAGAACGATATGAACGTCGAGTAATTAAAAAGTGATAATATCCGATATGCATGAGCGTCGATCAGACAATGACCTCGGGCGAGCAACGTGTTTCTAAAGAAACACATGAAGGCAACAGGAGAGACAATGGATATATAATATTGCCTATAATTAGCCTCGTTAAAGCCGTCTCTAATAATAAGCAAAACCCCAGCAGGCCAGATGCAAAACCGTTCACGGCGCATGATAATCTGTCGGTGCCTCTTAACGATTTATTAATAAAATGCGCGCGGGCTTATCTCGTGCTCCGCCACGGAACGCTTGAAAACGCTTATCAACGGCACCATGTGCGACTCCGGGAACATTTAATTGTACACAACCCGTAGATAGACTGCTCTCTCAGCTGATAACGCCTTTTGTGCGAGGCGAGGAACGCGTTTCTCCTCTGACTCCGAAGTCTGCGCGGGCAGATGGAATTCCCTTATCAGGCCGCGATTCAATGTATGCAGAATCAATCTCGGTAATTATTGATCACAAACAAACGAAATTAAACGCTCTGAACAATCTGTGCACTTATTTTATTTGAAATCTGTGCAACCTGCGTGGTGTATCAACCTCGCAACCTCGGCAATGAATTATGGATGACAAACAAACGGAACTGTTTAAGCTGCATGCGAAATTTGTGTTTGACGAACGATTTTCTAAGCATATTGTTTGAATTGTGTGACTGAGTATTCAACTGGCTAACGTATAGTTCATTAACCTTAGCGAACGAATTAAGTATTTTACAATGAGAAATATCGTGTTTGTCAAAGAATTTTATAACTGTTTTCCTTCAGATAGCCATTTATGATTTACTTTTTTTTTTTGTATCTAAACTTGTCAAATCTCAAACAGGCTTATTACAGCTGCATATTATGCAACTATTACAAATAACATTTTCAACTGTTGTTATATATGGCGATTACAATCTTTTAGAAATACAAAAGCATGCCGGAATATTAGGTTTAGCAATTATTATTTCTATTTATATTTTATTATNATATTCGTATTTTACTGATCAATTTTATTCCAGAGATGCCTTAATAAAATTCGCTTAATAATGAAAATGTTCATGTATCAAATAATGATGATAACGATTGGAGAGTAAACAAACTAGAGGCACGAGTATAAATCAAAACAGATATTTTACAAACAAGAATCTTTTTAGTATCAGTTAATTCGAGTAGATTACGCAAAAACCTTTCACGTTGATTAAAAAGTTAATCGGATACTCGTTGGAAACGAAGAAAGAAGCAGGCAACTTATGGTTATCGGAGATGCGTTTATTTTCTAAAAACGAGAATGATCGTTCGATGCCGGTCGATTAATAATAACAAGACGCGACGCTGCAAAGTGTGCCGCGCGCGCGGGACCAGACGTTTATTAATATAACAGAGCGTGTACGAAGCGTACGTACTATGCACGTTCGTTCACGCGAGAACGAAGATTGGTCTAATAGAAGAGAATACCCGGGGACGATTTCATAGGAAAATCTTGAAGAAACCCGCGTCGTTCCGTTCCCCAACGGGAGTGCAGAGCGCGCGGGTGGCCAGTCCGGTTGCATCGGAGGCATAAATATTATTGCAAACGCTAGCGTGCTCGAACCACTTGACGGTATAAATATATCTCCGATTGGAGACGCGAGGATAAACGCTCGAACCGGCCAAATCCGTTCGCATTGTTGAACAGCGTTAAGCAAACAAAAGATCGGGCTCCTATAACTGACAAATATCCATAATTCCAGCAATTGATCTTAGGAGAGAACCAACGCTCTTTCATTTCAACCTCAACATGTCAGCGGGATTGTAGCATAATCTGACTGGTAAACTGCATAAACTGAATTTAATATGCTAATAATTACCCTAAACGAAAAAGCTTTACTATTGTAATAAATACAAACCAAAGCTAGATACGAATTTGACCAAAGCTAGATATGATTTTTTTTATCTTAAATGAGCAGAGGTATGGTTTATACAGACCCAAGCTAGATATAAATTTTTTTATCTTAAATGAACAGAAGTATGGTTTCACTTTGAAAGTCTACGCGTATTAAAAATTGCGTGCGAAAATTATATCGAGTGTACGAATCAGGATTCACGTGTATTGAAATATACGAGAAAGGATGATCTGTGTTTCGACGATACGACGATCGTCGTCGAGTGGAACGATTAGGTATCGCACGGGACAATTGTCGACGTTGTTCCGAGTGTGTATTTAATTAGACTATGCAGACTGTTGTTGCTCGACGACACGTCACCGTCGGATTGCTCTGCACGGATTCTCGAGGATTTCTGTTTAGTCGAGTCACTCGTACATATGCTAATAAATGTAACAGCGAAGTGGGCGTAGGTACCTAATAAACTAACAAGCATTACACGATAATATGCGTGTTGTAAATGCATCAGATTAATGATGCGTGTAAACAATTCACGTGACAAGAACTGTACACTTACATACATAGGTGTACGTATATGTACAACTAGTAACAATGAAAGTGAGTCAGTTTGGGCTTGTGTTAGTTTCCTCTAGGGAGACAAAATTCAAAACGAGTAATAAGTCTACGTCTTCGATGCGTCAAAATTATATTGAAATCCAAAAGTATCGATGCCAGATCGAGAATTGAAAAATTTGAATTTTGTGGCAATTTTTAACACAAGCCCGAGCTAGCTCAGTTTCATTGTTACTTACTACCTGTATGTTAACGCCAAATCTTTGATAAGGATTCGATGCTGAATACTTTGTAGGGATGTTAAACCCAGCGCATTTAGCACGCTAGACTTGGGATGAAGACATTGCGAAACATTGTAAAGAGACGGTTAAGAGTCGCGTATACTATGCATTCGACATTGCTCGAGAATCAAAGAATGTGCCGAGTGCACATGTACCGATTTGATATTATTGTAAGGATCTTGCTACAGAGTGGAAGAGGCAAGAAAGGACAGCACGGCAGGAAGATTGATTTTTAACATGTACTTGAGAAAACTTATATCTCATGGATTGACATTTTCCGTTAGTTGCAACCTCGAATTTCTACACACTTGAGAAGATCAATAAAGGCGAGCCTGAATAATATTTAACTCTGAACAGAAATCTGTATCTATAAGTCTGTTAGCCAATCGATTCTCGCTTTAA